TTCCCTTCAAGGCTCAGGGGTCCAAGATTATCTTCTGTGTCTGTGTTAATTGGTTTCCCTTTTCTTTGTTGAAGAGGGTCTGTGCAGTCCTTCTGCCTAGTCCACCATCTTGCCGGTACTCCTGTCCCCATTGATTTTTCTTGTTGACAATATCATACTCTCTACCATAACTTTATATTCTCAGTGTGCTTATAAGTCAGTTCTTTTCTCCTTGATTTTCCTTTTCAGAAATACTTTTTATCTATTCTTGGAGGTTTCCTCTTTCATGTGAATTTCCACTGAAAACCTTGTTAAAATTTGTTACTGGAATGGCATTGAATTCCTAGATTAATATGGAAGGATTGCCATCTTTATTTTACTGAATCTTTTTGTCCCTGAACATTATATATAATATTGAGCCTGGGTGAAGTAATGGTTAAGAACTTGGCTGCTAATTAAAAAGACCCACAGTTGGATTCCCTAGCCACTCTGGGGAAGAAAGATATGGCAGTCTCCTTCTGTAGAGATTATAGTCTTGGGAATCGTGAGGGGCAGTTCTACTTTGTCTTAGAGGGGCACGAGGAGTTGGAATTGACTCAATGGCAATGACTATTTAATATACTGGCAGTCTCTAAATTACAAACAAGGTCCATTCTTATGTCTTTAAGAATTTGTAGATGCATACAATTCTTATGTAGGCTTTACTGCAAAAAAAAAAAAAAAAAAAAAGGCTCAAAGCCTTTTCAGTAATTTAAAAGTCGCATGGACAGCAAGTGAAGATGATTTTTGCCAGTAGGGGTTGTGAGTCAGATTTCACTAGATGGCAGTGAGTTTGGTTTTGGTATTGGTTTAGGAGTTGTTTCAATCCTTTCAAAGTGAGGATAAATTTACATAACATTAAAGGCAAGGAGGAATTGTCTACAAGTTGGAAGTTTGTAACTTGCAGACTGCCTTTATATATTTAATTGTGCCTTTATGTTCTATAATTACTCTAATTTCTTTAAAAATTCTAATTAATCTATTAGGTTTAAGTACTTTATAAGCATTTTGTAGATGATCTTTATTTTTTGTTGTGAAAGAGATCTTTTATCTGTTGTATTTTACGAACAGTTATTGCTGGTGTACAGGAATGATAAAGGAGCCTTGGTGGCACAGCGGTTAAGCACTCGGCTGCTAAATGAAAAGTCAGTTGTTTGAATTCAGCAGCTGCACTGAGGGAGAAAGATACAACAATCTGTTTCTGTAAAGATTACCCACTGCCACTGAGTCAATTCCGACTTATACCAGGTTTCCTAGATGGTAAATCTTTATGGAAGTAGATTGTCTTATCTTCCTTCCTCGGAGTAGCTAGTGGGTTTGAACCACCAACCTTCTGGTTAGTAGTCAAATGACTTGGGCACTGCACCACCAGAACTCCTATTACAGCCTTAGAAACTCTATGGGGCAGTTCTATTCTGTCTTATAGGGTCTCTATGAGTCAGAATTGACTCACAGAGCAACAGGTTTGGGTTTTGATTTTTGTTTTTGATAGGAATGTTATTGATTTTTATGTGCTAATCTCAGTTAAACTTCTAAAACTTTTTTCTGGTCTCTGACATTTGAGCTTTTAAGTTAAACTTAGTAACTTCCCTCAAAATGGTAAATGACATTTTCATTGACCACCTCTTTTAATGCTAAAGTACATATGGAAAGGTCAAAGTTTCAAATGTAATATGACAGTTAGGGGAAGGTTCAAGGTGTATTTATCACAAGGTGTCTGCTAACAGGCATTCACTTGCACAATGGTTTGGACTAGATTCTCTTGTATTCTCTCTTTCACCTTGCTTTTTGCCCATATAACAGCTATATCGGTAAGTAGCTTTTTGCTCTTTTGAGTATTTAGAAATATGAATTCTGATATACATTGTTTGTTTTCTGTCTATTTGTTCCCTTTCAGATTAAACATCTTTCTAAAGGAAATGGTAAGTAGCAATTGAAATGCCTAGTGAGTGTTTCTGAACTTTTTCTCATTTGTTCAGCAAGACTAGTAACCACATTTCCCCCCACTTTTAATAGAACATGATGCCAATTTTGGTGAACAGAAGGGCATTTCAGAAATCAATTTAGGTGAGTTAAATCTCTGCATTATTAGTGCCTTGAAATAATTAAAACCCAGTGATAGAATGGCTGAAAAGCACTTACCTTCAAAATACTCAATTGGATAACTCTGGGGAAGAAAGATTTGTTGGTACTACATTAGGATTTGCAGAGTTCTGGAAAATGCAAATATGTAAAGAGAAAGATGGTTAAACTACGTTTTCTAGGAAAGCTAATGAGTCCTAGATGGATCTAGAAATACACGCCAAGTTTCTGTTTATAAAAATTTCAATTTTTTCTTTCTATTTTGAAAATAAAGGAAACAAAAGTGATAATCATTCTGCTTGCCAGTGACAAAATATAAGGAATAAGTCTATGGTTATATTTATGCACTGCTGTTGAGTAGGATCCGAGTCCTAGTGACCCCTCCTTGGGTTCCCAAGGTGGTATCACTACGGAAGTAGATTGCCCCAATCTTCCTTCAGAAGTGTGGCTGGTGGGTTTGAACCTCCAGCCTTATGGTTAGCAGTCGAATGCATTAGGCACTACGCCATAAATCTTTACCCCATTTTTGGCCAGTCATATCCGCTGACAACCATTTGGTTTGGACTTAGCGAAGAATGTGAAATAGAAAAATATTTCTGCTTAAGACATCTAGCCCACAAATACATTTCTCAGAGAAATCCACCAACCTCATCCATTGTTGACAAGAGAAACTGAGTAATCATTGTCTCTTCCTCTGTTGTTCTGCTTTTCAAAGGAGGGAGAAGCCTCTACATTCCAGCATGTTTGTTTAGGATTGGTGGAAGTAGAGATATTCGTGATTATAAACAACTTAGAATTTACAAAAGCTTTCACAACCAGTTGCATGTTCATTTGTCAAATGATGTAGTCAGTGGGGTAAGTGCTGTTTTCATTTTGCAGGAAGGGACCAGAGGCTCCTCATGGGTAGGGTGACTTGCCCAAGTTCACAGTTGGTAGAGATAAGACTCACTTTCACGTCCTATGACTGACACCCAGGTACCATGGAGTAGACTCCAACTCACGGTGATTCCATGTGTATCAGAGTAGAACTGTGCTTTGCAAGATTTTCACTGGCTGACTTTTTAGTAGATTGCCATACCTTTCTTCCAAGGCACTTCTGGGTGGACTCAGACCTCCAAACTTTTAATTAGCAGCTGAGCACTTAACTGTTTGCACCATCCAGGGACTCCTTCTGACTTATTGACCACCTCATCATTCAATATCTCACAGTTATGACAATAGTGAAAAATCTACTCCCTATTTTGCACATTAGTGATATATGTCTGGCAGTAACAAATGCTGCAGTGTGAGGCAAGAGTAATGGTGGTGATTGTTAAGGTTATATGTCAGTTTGGCTGTGCCATGATTCTCAGTGGTTTGGCAGTTATGTAATGATGTAAGTTGGCAATTATATAATGATGTAGTCATCCTCCATTTTGTGATCTGATCTGGTCATAAAATGTTTTCATAAAACATTGATTTTTGCATAATGACATGGTCTCTAGAGCCTAACCATGTCAATAAATGAGGAGTGGATGTAGCATCTGAATATTACAAAGAAGACAAACTTATGCATAAGGATTAAATTTCTTTGGCCTTGTCCCATTCACTGGGAAGACATATTGGTTCATATTTACCATATTTTTACATGAATAATGCGTGCATCATGTAGTTTTGGCAAACAATGCAACTCCCTTCCATGTTAGTTTCCATGCTATGCATATTATATGTGGGTATGGGTGTTATTTATGTGGACATGTTATATGTGAAAAATACAGTAATTGGAAAAGTATTAAGAATGATTGCACAGAGAGAGTAGAAATAGTGCAGTCAGGAAAACGGGTGAATGAGTAGATGGATCCTAAGACTCCAGAGCTGGTCATCAAAGTATCTCTCTTTGGAGCAAGAAAGATGTATGGAATTCAGAGGAATTATTGTATTTTAAAACAAGGCTGGGATTATAATTAGTGTTTTTCTAATCTAATCCTTATTTATCTAGTAAGGATTAATTCTTCCATCTTTGAGCCATTTCTTATTCTTCAGCCTCACAACCACCTCTGAACTATAATCCCAATGAAAAAAATCTCTTTACTATGTAAGTATGCTGCATTTTTTTTATGCCATTCCAAACAAGCAACAAGGATTGATTGGGTTAGTCATGTAGCTAGATTATAAAATAATAAATTGGTTGGGAAAATTATTCAGAAGAGATGTCATCTTTTGACTCTTTTCTCCATGCCTCACAATGCTGATTTAATCCTTCTTATCTTCCACCCCAAAACTTGCTTCTCCAACTCTTTTTCTTTTTGTTAAATGCAATTCCTCCCCTCTAGTTCATTAGATCTAGAACTTCAGAGTTTTCCCTCAATATTTTTCTTTCTATCACATCTTTCAGCAAATGCTATTAGATATGTCTTCAAATTTTATCATGAACTAATTCTTCTGTGTCTTTCACTGCTCCCATCGTGGGACAAGCCACTTCATCTCTCACTTCATTCTTGCAGAGGCCTCTTAACTGCACCACTTCTGATGTCTTTTAAAAATTATTCTCTCCTATACTCACTCAAGCTTTCCAGCCACCCTGATCTAATAGGTATTCCTCAACAAAAGCAATTCTTAAAGTGTGGTGTCCAACCAGCAATATCAGTACCATAAGGAAAATTGTTAAGAAAGAAAATACTCAGAGCCCACCCCAGAACTAATGAATCAGAAACCTGGGGGTGGGGACCATAGATCTGTGTTTGAACAAGCCTTCAAGGGCATGCTGATGATAAAGCTTAAGAACCACTGCCCTAAGACAAATGAGCCTAGGTGATACAACTGGTTTGTAACAGATGCTAACCCAAAGCTTGGTGGTTTGAACCCACTCAGTGACTTAGCAGAAGAAATGACTGGTGAACTGCTTCCATAAAGATTCCAAAAGCCAAATTCCCTGCTATCTAACTGATTCCAAATCATGGTGACCCCCATTGGGTTTCCAAAGACTGTAAATCTTTATGGAAGCAGACTGCCCCACCTTTCTTTCGTGGAGCAGCTGGTGGGTTCGAACCAGTGACCTTTTAGTTAGCAGACAGATGCCTTAACCACTACACTACCAGAGCTCCTTCCATAAAGATTGTTGTTGTTGCTATGTGCCGTGGACTCAGACCCAACTCATAGCGACCCCTCCTTGGGTTTCTGAGGAGGTATCACTATGGAAGTAGATTGCCCAACCTTCCCTCCAAGAAGTGGCTGGTGAGTTTGAACTGCCAGCCTTCTGGTTAGCAGTCAAGTGCCTTAGACAATACACTATCAGCCAAGAAAATCCTATGGAGCAGATCTACTCTGTAACACATGGGGTGCCATGAGTTGATAGCTGGCACAAAGACAGCTAACCACAACAAGGTCTAAGGTATCAAGACTTTCTTGTCTCAGGAACTTTGTATTTGCTATCACTTCTGTCTCCGACACACATGCTTCCTTCACTTCCATCAGATTTCTATTTATCAGGAAATATTTCTCTGAACACCCTGTATAAAATAGCAACCCTTTATCCTCCTTTACCTCCCTCACACAGTGTTTTCTATTGCACATATTACCATCTGACACACACTACATTTATTTGGTTGCTTGTTTGTTTCCTTATCCTCACTTCCCTCAAGAATGCCATCTCCCTGAGGCCATTGTTTGGTTTAAAGCTAAATCTCCAGCATCTGAAACAATAAGGACGTATTACACTGAAACACCAAAATCAGTTGCCTTGGAGTGCTTTTGACTCAGAGAGCTATATTGAGCATATAATAAGTATGCATTAAATAAAGGAATTGGATGGTGAATAGATTTGGGCTTGGACATCTCCCTAAATATATACAATGCAGTGGTGTGATTGCTGATTTTGTTACTGATTAATTAAGCAGTTACCATATAAATAAGTTAGGGTTATGGAGGTTAAGCAAAGCTAGGCAATGAGTGCTTATGTAAGGCGTAAGGCAGATACAGTGTTACTTATTAGCAAGTGAAACATGATGCCTCCTACCTAATAGCTCCTTGGAGTCATTTGCAGAGACCTAACCCAGCTCTTAAATGAGCCATTGTTGTTAGGCAGTTTTCCACTTAAAGTGACCCCATGTGACAGAATAGAACTGCCCCATAGGGTTTTCTTGTCTGTAATTGTTACAGAAGCAGATTTCCAGGGCTAGAACTGCTGGGTGGGTTTGAACCCCCAGAGCCTAACCTTTTATGCCACCTGGGCTCCTTGAATGGACCATAAAAACCAAACCGACTGCTATTCAGACTCATAGCAACCCTACAGGGCAGAGTAGAACTGCCCCATAGAGTTTCCAAGCCTGTAAATCTTTCTCCCGTGGAGCAGATGGTAGGTTTGAACTACCAACCCCTTGATTAGCAGCCAGATGCCTTAGCCACTGCACCACCAGAGCTCCTGAATAAATAAAAGATTATGCCAAATAGGGCTTTTGTTATCAAAGGAACTTATAGTAATTGTCTCTGGCTTGATTTCCCACCTGTCAGGGGCTGTCTCAAAATGAAGGGTAATCCAATGATAGTGTCTGACATAGTTTGTGTTTTATAGGAAGGACACTGTTCATGTCATACTTATGAGAACAGTGACACTCTTTTAAATGCTCAGGAAGTTTCCCCACAAGGATTTTTCCTTTTAAGGATCTTGTTTTCAGAAACAGTGTGAGGCTAGAATTGAGCAACACCAGCCTGCAGTGGTAGAGTACATTCCGCTAAGCTCCTGACAGGATATGTTTGGAAGTACGGTTTTGAACTGAACTATCGACATTCACTTGATCTTCCTTATTACAAGGATATCACTTTGAGTTTGGCTTTGGAGGGTACCATTGTTTTTTCATGGAACAGAGCAAAATCAACCCATTTGCTTAGGCATAAAAGGTGAGATGGCACAGTAACGAAAAGGGCCCTGACAGGAATTCAGGGGTTCCAATGCTGGCCGGTCCACTGACCACTTAGTACATCACTTACCGTCTCTGGACTCCATTTCTTTGCCTGAAGCATGAGAGATTTGGAGTCAGTGATCAATAAGATCCCTTCTAACTCACATCTTACTTGCAATACTCTTGGACAAGTTTCCTTGTTTCAAAACTGCAAACAATATATGCAATAATATGTGATGCTCACAGGTGATTTATATTTACTTAGAGAAAATTTTTGCATTGTTTAAAAAATATTTTCACACATAAAAATGAACAATTAAAGATTTATAATGACAAAGATTAATTTTATTATAAGAGTGTCTTTTAGCAATTCTCCTATATTCTTTTTATGAAATCCATATCTAGATGCAGGCTTGAACCTCTTTCAAGGGGACATCTTCTTGCGGGTGAGTACCTGACAAGGACATGATGACGTTCTTCACAGATTGGCTGTGCCATTGGAGAGTGAGCCTCTGCTCTAGATCCACCCCTGGGATGGGCACTGTGGAGAGAAGAATAATCTATAATCTGTGTGCATAAGGACTTCCACTTTAGTTGATGATGACAAAAATAGATGAAAAAATAGCACACAGCACAAACCAAACTAACTGCTGTTGAGTCAGATCTGACTCATAGCAACCCTTCCTTGGGTTTCCGAGGTGATATCACTACAGAAATAGATTGGGCAATCTTCCTTCTGAAGAGTGGCTGGTGGGTTTGAACCGCCAGCCTTCTGGTTAGTAGTCAAATGCCTTAGGCACTATGCCACCAGAGCTCCTATGCAGCACAAGAGTCTACAATTATTAAATTGCTGGTATACCCAATTTTGCTAATAAGTGAAGAATGAGAGGGAAGGAAAGTATGGATATGTTTAGAGTGTTTATCTCAGTTTTTGGGAATTGTGAGTCTTATTCATTTCCTTCTTAGTAATTTCTCTGACTTTTCCAAATTGTCTACAGTGAATTTCTACTGATGGTATACTCAGAAAACAATAGTTCAAATTATGCAATAGACTGTGGTGTAGGAGGTTAATAGGAAAGGGGACAAGGAGATCTTGAGGACCATCTTGAAGACTAGGCCTCCTGGTCATCTTTGTCTTTGTTTTTGCAGAACTCCAGAAATGGCCTGAGAGACCCAACCACCAGGTGGAAGTTCCCCATTCCTTACATTCTGGCTGATAATCTGGGTAATATTAATTAATCATTCTTAATTAGGAACTTCTGGTTTAACTTTTTTCTTTTCCCACTCCTGTTTATGAACTTCAGATTGAGAGTAACCATTAACATGTAGGGGAGTTCCCAAGCCCTGGTGATTCTTTATCCCCTGCCAAGAAAGACAAGACTTGTATTGAAACCCACACCACTTAAGCTTTCTGAGATATAGGACATCCCAAAATAATGTTTAAAATGTAGAACACATTAAAATGTTAGTGAAGCTAGTAGCAACATAAAAAAGCAAAAACAAACAAACAAAAAAAAGAAATATAATTAGGCATCAAAGCAATGGAAAAATTTCATGTTAAACAATATTTTAGGTGAAGCTAAGTTAATACAAGGTTCACCTGAAGTTTGAGGATATCATTTGTAACATATTACTTTCTTTCCTTTCTTGTTTCAAGAGAAACATGCCACATTTTTGAGAAATGGAAATGTTGATATTTATTTCACATGTTCCTGTTCCTAAAAAGTGTTAACAATTACTTCTTTTTTCTTACAAGATAAAGAATAAGTGACATTTTACTCATTGGTGGAAATAAATAAATATGAGAACCCATACGTGGGTACTGGCTGACCTCAAGCAGCTGACTGATAGCTGAGAAGCAACTTTGCTATGATTCCGCCAGGGCCTATAAAGGTGGGGGAAGATCTGAGAGGAAAGAGGAAGTCAAGACAACTTGCTCAATCTTGGTGGACTGCAAGGCTGTTCTCACTCTCAGGAGATGTAGAGTATGCTTAAGTATTTTCTATTAATGTTATCAGTGTTGCCTGAAATCCCTTTTCTGGAGAAGAGCTGGATATAAACAAATGCTTTCATTCTCAGTTATTTGTTGGATTGTTGGGTTGACTTTTTCCCAGTGTTCTCCGGAACAGTATTCATTGGAGCATGATTTAACAGTGGCTCCCTTCCATGACATTTTTTATGTTGGTCACAACTGTGCCCTCTCCCACCAACACATATTTAACTGAAGCCCTATTACATGCCTTGGGAGTTCTGGTGGCATAGTGCCTGAAGCATTTGACTGCTAACCAGAAGGCTGGCAAGTGGTTCAAACCCACCAGCCACTCCCTGGAAGGAAGGTTGGACAATCTACTTCCATAGTGATATCGCCTTGGAAACCCAAGGAGGGGTCGCTATGAGTCGGACCTGACTTGACGGCAGTGTATATTATAGGCCTTGCCCTGTACCTTCAGCAGGTATTTTATTTACCCTTCACCATGAGACTATGAGGTGTAAGTCAGTGCTTCTGAAACTTCAGTGTGCATAAGACTCACCAGAGAATTTTGTTAAAGTCCAGAGACTAATTCAGTAGGTCAGGGTTAGAGCCCGAGATTTTACATGCCCAACCTGTTCCAGGTGATTCAAATTCTGCAAGTCTGCAGCTTAAGTAACAAACTCTTTCTACTTGGGTCGAGTCAGTAAAGATAAACCAGTTGCCATCAAGTCAGTTCCAACTCATGGTGACCTCTTGTGTGTCATACTAGAACTGTGCTCCATAGGGTTTTTAGTAGCTGATTTTTCAAAAGTTGATCACCAATGGTTTCTTCTGAGGTGCCTCTGGTGGACACGAAGCTTCAGCCTTTCAGTTGTTAGCTGAGCATGTTAACCCTTTGCACCAGTAGAGATAGAGCAGCAGCAATAAAACATTTTCCAGTAACACCACATGAGAATAATCTTTAGAATGAATAATAAAAAAAAAAAAAAATTCAGGCTATGGATTCATATCACTGTGAAAAGCAATCTACTTACTAGGGTTCAATATTTGCATTCTTCCCTGTTTTAAAGTTAACTTTGCATAGAGTGAAATCTTAGCAGAGAAATATTGGCTTTTTTTTTTTTTTTGTAATTCATTTTATGTTATTTTATTCTGGAGAAAATATACACAGCAAAATGTACACCATTTCAACAATTGCTACCTGTATAATTTAGTGGCATTGATTCCGTTCATGTAGACCATTCTTTAGAGAGCGCAATGCTCAAGGCAGGTGCATTTTGTAAGTCATGGCTTTTGACAAATGAGGAAACCTATATACATATTTCCATCACTCCAGAAATTTCCCTTGTATTCTTTTCTAGTAAATCTTCATTCCCATTCCCCAAGAGGAACCTGAGTTCTAATTTCTGCCACAGATTAGTTTTACCTGACATAGAACTTCAGATAAGTGTCATCATGTAGTATATATTATTTTGTCTCTGGCTTCTGTTGCTTAACACAATATATTTGAATTCATCCATGTCATTGTGGATTAATAGTGAATCCTCTTTTACTTCTACATGATATTCCATTTTATGAGTATACTTCAACTTGTTTATCCATTTTCCTGTTGATAGACATTGCATTGTTTCCAGTTTGGGGTTTATTATAAAGAATGTTGCCATGGTCATTTTTGTGCTAGTCTGTGTTGATACATGTTTGCCGGTTTGTTTTTTTCTCTTGGGTAAATGCCTAGGAATAGAATTGCTTGGTTAGATGGTATATGTATGTTTAACTTAGTAGGAAAATATACAATTGCTTTCCAAGTGACTGCGAGTTTATACTCCCACTAACAACATTTGAGTATCCCATTTGCTCTATATCCTCATTAATATTAGTGTTGTCAACTTTTAATTTTAGCCATTCTAGTGTTTGTGAAATGTTACCTCATTGTAATTTGAATTTCCCTAATGATTAATGATATTGGGCAATTTACATGTTGGTCATCTGTACATCTTCTTTTGTGAAGTGTCTGTCTAGTTGCTTAGTTCCATTTTTATAACTTAGTCAGGTGTAAAGAGGGATAAAGAGATATCATTTTTTAATTAACCACTCTTAGAACTTCCACCATTTGACCTAAGGATAGCAAAGGCAGTACCACTTCCAAAAAGCTTGTTTTTAGTATAATCAAACATTTTTCCTTATGTTTATGTGACATCTCTTAAGTACATCTTTGTAATATTTTAAGTGTCATTAAGTAAGAGTAATACCGCTCATCTGTCAGTTGTTGTATAGGGTGGCTTGCATGCTGCTGTGATGCTGAAAGCTATGCCACTGGTATTTCACTTACCAGCAAGGTCACCTATGGTGGAAAGATTTCAGGAGAGCTTTCACACCAGGACAGATTAGCAAGGAAGATGTGGCCAGATCCACTTCCGGGAAAAGAAATGGCCACTGAAAACCTTATGAATAGCAGGGAAACATTGTCTGACATAGTGTTAGAAGATGAGCCCCTCAGTATGATGCGCTCAAGCATGGCAAGGGTTGTGAGAATGACACAAGATTGGACAATGTTTCATTCTGTAGTACCTATGGTCACTATGACCTGAAATAAACATCACAGCACCTATACCTAACAAGTAAAGAATCTAAAAACAAAAACCAAAAAACAAAAAAACTCACTGCCATCGAGTTGACTCTGGCTTATAGTGACCCCTCCTTGGAATTCCCAGGCAGTATCTCTATGGAAATAGATTGCCCAGTCTTCCTACCAAGGAGTGGCTGGGGAGTTTGAACCACCAGCCTTCTGGTTAGCAGTCAAATGCCTTAGGGACTATACCACCAGAGCTCCTAAGAAGTAAGAAGAGGTACTAATGATAATAATAATAATAATAATAAAGCCCAAAACCAAAGTGCCACCAGAGCTCCTTGAAAATAAGTAATACCCTACAGATTGGGAAATAAATATTTGGTAATGACATATCTGACAAGGGATTAATCTCTAGAATTTATAGAAAACTCCAACACCTCAATAACAAAAAGACAAATAATCCAATTAAAAAATCGGCAGAAGCCATGAACAGACACTTCACCAAGAAGGATATTCAGGCAGCCAGCAAACATATGAAGAAATGCTCACGATCATTAGCCATTAGAGAGATGCAAATCAAAACAACAATGAGATACCATCTTGCTCAAGCACTAGTAGCAAAGTTCAACAAGACAGAAAATAACAAATGCTGGTGAGGATGTGGAGAGATTGCTGCTGGTGGGACTGTAAAATGGTACAACCACTGTGGAAAGCAGTATGACGATTTCTTAAAAAGTTGGAATTAGAATTACCATTTGACCCAGCCATTACATTACTAGGTATATATCCTAAAGAAGTGAGAGCCATGACAAGACCAGACATATGCACACTCATGTTCATTGCAGCACTATTTACAATAGCAGAAATTTGGAAACAACCTAGGTGTCCATCAACTGAGGAATCAATAACCAAACTATGATACATACACACAATGGAATACTATGCAACCCTAAAGAATAATGTAGAATCTGCAAAACACTGCATAACATGGATGAACTTGGAGGACATCATGCTGAGTGAAATAACTCAATCACAGAAGGACAAATATTGTATTAGTCCGTTATTGTAAAAAGTCAAGGAAAGGTTTATATATGGAAGGAAATTTTCTTTTGTTGGTTACCAGGGGTGGGAGATTAGGAAACACTGTTAGATATGTAGAGATAAGTATTGATTTGTGTGAAGAGATGGGCAATGTACCAAATGTAAGTGATCAACATGGTAGCATAGAGGAAGAGGAAGACATGGAGAGGTGTATGGGAGGTGCAGACAACAAAGATGTACCCTTTTACACATACAGTACTGCATTGTCAGTGAAGACAAACATGGGTATATGGGTAGATAGATGGGTGGAGAGGCTGAACTATTAGGTATGTCTATGCAGGGGGAGTGTACCCAAGACCATGTATAGGGATGCAGACCATGGTTTTACAAGTGTGTTTGTATGTTCTGTAAGAATTCCTAGGTGTATAGTAGAACTGATAAGGGACAAGTTTATAGCCACTTCTTGGGCACAGCCAGCTACCCAGAGGGAGCAAGTAGTTGAACCTGTGGGCTCGGGACCATAGTCACAGGGGACATCAAGCTCAATTGGCATAAATACTACACAAAACATTGTTCCACCTCCTACTCTGGCAAGTAGCAACTGGGATCTCAAAGGCTTGCAAGCAGCCATCTAGATGCAATGATGGGTCTCTCCTAGTCCAGAGCAAAGAAGAATGAAGGAAACCAAAGATTCATGGAAACAATTAGTCCTAGCGCTTGTACACCATATGATCCACAGCCTATACAACTAAAGACCAGAAGAACTAGATGGTGCCTGGCTACCACTGTCAACCACTTGGAGGGCGATCTATGTAGGAGACCCTGGGTATAGAGGGAGAACAATGTGGGACAAAACTTAAAATCATTTGAAAAAAAAAAAAAAAAAGGATGAGTTTTGCTGATCTGATAGAGCCTGGAGGAACCACTGAGACTATGACCCCTAGCTGCCCTTCAGGTCTGGAATTGAACCCATTCCTGTGACTTCCAGCCAAACAAAAGACAGGCATATGAAGTGAACATTTACACTAAGTAGATACACTCCTTGGAGAGAATGATCATGGAAGAAAGAAGGGCTGTTTATGCACAAGGAGACAGCTCTGTGGTCAGGAGTGTGTGAAGGGATGGACACAAGGAAGAGGTAGCTATCGGGAGGAGGTGGGAGGTGAGCTGTTGCATTGTGGTAAGTTGTGGTCAATGTCATGAGACTAAGTGTATGTGAACTACTGTATAGAAAGTCAATTTACTCTGTAAACTTTCATCCAAATCACAATTAAAAAAAAAAATCTGCCACTGAAAAAAAATAGGTAATAACAAAACCCACTGCCATCGAGTCAACTCTGACTCATATCAACCCTCATTGGGTTTCCAAGAGGGTAGATCTTTACAGAAGTAGATTGCCCCGTCTTCAGAAGGAAGATGGGGCAATCTACTTCCATAGTGATACTGCCTCGGACAACAACATCTTTCAGTGAAGTAGCTGGTGGGTTTGGACTGTCAAACTTCTGGTTAGCAGTCAAATACCTTAGGTGCTGCACCACAGAGCACCTTAAGAATAGGTTAATAGTCCTTGAAAATCCTTCAGTATGTTTATTGCATGCTTTGTTTTTGTTGTTGCTGTTTGTGCTCTTTCCAAAATTAATTTCTTGGTAATTTCAAAGAATATTTCTTTTAATAACCCTCATATAATGTACGACATTTGAACTGTGGAATCTGCAACTTGGTGATTTATTAAATAAATAAGGTCCAGAAAAAAAAAAGATATTGCCTAATAACCTGCCAAGAATTACAAACTCTTTGAAAGGAAGTATACATTCATTCGTACAAGAAATATGATTTAATTTTATATAATATATCTTAATTTTTAGGTTTCCTCCAATGAGCTGATGTAACCTACAAAACAAGTAAATAAATACTTACAAAGGAAAACATTATCTTAGTTTCTCTGGAGTATCTTTCTTCCTGCCCCATCCTTACCTTACGCAACGCCAAGGTGTGTGCATACTGGGTAAAAGGAAAAGCAATTGATCTCTGACCATTGGTCCCACAGGTTATTGCTAGGCATCTGTTTTATCTGCCCATTTAAGTCCATTAGTCCATTTTGTTGCATTGACGTCAAGCTTGTATTACAATTTTTTTTTCCGTGACTGCCTGCAGTGCTGGCTGTCCAGATTTGTCATCTCCTCAAGGGAAGGGAAGTAGGGCAAAATACCATCTGTACTTTTAATGCTTTCAGAACCCACAAACCTCTAAGTTCTGTTCTCTTTCTCCAGCAGAAAGAGATGCCTTTTTGGGCTAGATTGAGAAACTCCATTCTCACTGCTTCTCTCCAAGGCACTTTGTGCATACGAAACCCAGAGTCACTTGCAAGCCACCTCCATTTTCCGCTCTGCCATGTAGCTTTCTGAGGCAATGCACTCATAGTCTCTGCTTGAATTGTGGAAAGCAAGAAAACAAAGAAGTTATTTTGTGATAAAAATTCAGGCACATACACAAATGTGTATTCTCATTTTGTAGTTGTGTTTATACTCTGCATTTAAAGTATGCAGCTGATGTTTCTACCTACAACTAATTTTGCCATTTTAGGTTCCAAAGAATGTATTTACTGCCCCCCAAACAATCTGTTGTGAATCTCTATGGATTTCATGTAGTGGTATGGTTTCCTCTAAAGTTATATATACTCTCTAAGATGTAAATAACGCTCATTGACATTTTTATTGATTTCTGCAGAGCTGAATGCCAAAGGAGCCATTCTCTATGCCTTTGAAATGTTCCGCCTCAAGTCCTGTGTGGATTTTAAACCTTATGAAGGCGAGAGCTCATATATCATATTTCAGAAGTTTGATGGGTTAGTATGAAATTTTACAGTGTGAAAAAGATGCATCTTATTCTTTGGTTTATAAAAAGTGACACTTCTCTTTCAAAGGCTAAAATAAGAAATTGGAAAGAAACTAAAAACAAAATTAAATCTCTGATAGTGAATTTTTAAATTATACAATATTTTTAATAAGCTGTGATGAGATAAGGAATTTAGATACCTCTGGGCTCCAAAACCACTGCCATCAATTTGACTCCGACTCATAGCGACCTGATTGGGTTCCAAGGCGGTAAATCTTTACGGAAGTAGATTGTCCCATCTTCCTTCCACGGAACTGCTGAGGTTTATTTTAGTTGTTTTCTTAGATTAAGGTTGTGTTTTAATTACAGTACTTTTTTTTCTATTATCATAATTATGTATATAAGAAAATATTTGCTATTTTAACATTTTTAGCATGGACAATCAGTGATGTTAGTTACATTCATCATGCTGTTTAGCCCTCACTACTATTAATTTTCAATTTTTTCCATCACTTTTAACAAAAAGACAAAAAGATCAGTATGCCCTAAGCAATGACTCTTCTTGTCCTCCTCCTCACCACTTGTAACCACTAGTTAACTTTGTCTCTATACATCTCTCTGTTCTAGATATTTCATATAAGTGGGATCATACAATTTTATTCAGGTTGTTTGAGATTCCTGTGGGTCATATAAATGGAGATTACCAAAAGTATTTGGATACTTTCTTTTTATGAGAAGGAACAACATTTAAAGGAAAGTTTAGGCTTTATTAAGATTTCAAAGGTTTTCTGCTTTTGACTGACTACTTTACCTTGTCCTTGGCAAACTCTAGACTTTCATGAAAACCCAAAATCTTAACTAATTCATTTAAAATGTCAGGAGAAAATCCATTTAACACTTTTATTTACATCTTTACCACTTTGGCATCACTTATATTCACAAAGAGAAATTTCTTTTTCTTAAAAATAAAACAAAGTCATTATGATCACTTTTCAAAAGTTATCCTTTTCCAATTACAGTTTCCTTGGGTTCTGTTTAGTTGATAACTCAGTCTGCAGGTACCTGATGAAAGGGTGGGTCAGCATGAGGCACATTCTCTGTACAAGGGGAATCTAGAGGGCTCTTATTTGCCAGTGGTCAAGAGGTACCTCTGTGACATTTAAGTTAGGGAAGGGAAGAAGGCCTGGGGAAAGGGATTGACCCAAAATACCCCTGTGAAGAGGGGGCTCTGATTCTCTGGAGTGGACGATCCCTAAGCTCTTTCAGAAAGACAGTGGCCAAAAGTTTGCAGAATGGTGGAATTTGTTATATTTTTGCAATTTATGCTTTTCTATTAAGGGATATATATATATATATATATATATATATATATAAATAAAGATAAAGAATAATTGCTTCTTGTAGGTTGTGGATACTCTGATTTAGTAAGGAGCTGTTACTGTTTGAGAGACAAGCTGATCATGGTAATGTTTGCCTAACTTTATAAATTTACTAAAAATTATTGAATTGACTACTTAAAATGGGTGGATTTTATGGTACATAAACTGTTGTTGTTGCTAGGTGCCGTTGAGTCATTTCCGACTCATAGCGACCCCATGCGCAGCAGTACATAAACTAGAACCTAGAAAAGTTGTTAAAAAATAGAAAAATAAGTTTCATCTTTGATCTTAAAAATCAAATCAATCTTCTGGTAAGATGGCAGAATAGGCAGACAAGCTACACAGATCCTCTTCAACAAAGAAAAGAGAAACCAATTGAAAGACATACAGAAGGCAATCCTGGAGCCCTGAGCTTTGAAAGGAAGTATAAGAAGAGGATTAGGCACCAACTAGTGGAAAAACCTGAACGGAAACAGTGAGTATGGAGATGGACAGAGCAGAGGACTGTCAGCTTCTCTGACAGGACCAACACCCTGAATATTTCCAAGTGATGTTGGGACCTGAGAATTGACCTAAAGATCAGCCCTGGTTGTCAAGGGCTGCAGGGACAACTGCACTGGTGATCTATGACTCAGAAAGGAAACAGCAAGGAGGGAGACAACCTGAGCTATGGACTTTCAGCTGCCTGGGGGATGCAGCCATTTTGATTGTTTACAAGTGGTGGCCATTTTGGATACTTAAAGTGACCGAGGGTTCAGGCATTTTGATTGTTTATAAGTAGCAGCCATTTTGGATATTTAAAGTGAACAGTGTTGTTGTTGTTGTTATGTGCTGTTGAGTTGGACCCAACTCATAGCGACCCCTCCTTGGGTTGCCGAGGCAGTATCACTACAGAAGTAGATTGCCCCACCTTCCTTCTGAGGAGTGGCTGGTGGGTTTGAACCGCCAGCCATCTGGTTAGCAGTCAAGTGCCCTAGGCACTATGCTACCAGAGCTCCTAAAGTGACCAAGGGCACAGCTATTTTGAATGTTCACAAGCAGTAGCATTTTGGATTTTAAAGGGACAGCATTCTCATTCAGATTCCAGGAACCTAAGAATAGGTTCCATTTGCCAAGGACAGCAAGGACATATGGGAGCCTGACAATGGGAAAGGAGACAGGTGGTGAGTGTATAAGTGCTGCCAACTAGTGAATAGAGGAGCACAGCACAGTACACTGGTTACATAGAAAACATTCAAACAAAACAAATAAAACAAAAATCGTGGGCTGGTCACTCCAACATACAATCACCAATTAAATATAAACACAAAACATCACAATGCCTCAGAGACAACAGAGCATCATAGTCTACACAAAGAAGCAAGATAAAGCAGAAGAAACAAGGGACCAGGATACAGACCCAAAGCACAGCCCTGAGGAAGACGTAGCATTGGAAATCCCTAATAAGGAGTTCAAAACAATTGTATTTAAGTACCTTCAATTAATTGAGAGAAAGATCATTGAAAACACTGAAAAAATTGAGGAAAGCACAGAGAAAACACTAGAATAATTTTGAAAGACAATACAAGAACAAAATAACAAAAGAAATGAAAAATTATTGCAATTGAGTGGAGTCCAAATGATACAAAATCTACAGACAGAAATCTAGAGGATTAATTCTAAATTTTCAGAAATAGATAACACATTGAACAGGCAAAGGAGTAAAATTGAATCAATGAAAGACAGAATTAGTGAGATTGAAGTCAAATACCTCAATACTTCTTTGGAAAGGGAACAATCAGAAAAAAGATCAAACCAAAATGAAGAAAGCCTAAGGTTCATGGGGGATACCACTAAAAGGAATAACCTATGTGTCATTGGAATTCTATAACAGGAAGAGACAAATAAAACCACAGAAAAAAAATTGTTGAAGATTTGTTGGAAGAGAATTTTCCCAGTATGATGAAAGATGAGAACATATTCATTCAAGATGTCCAATGAACCACTAACAGGGTAGACCCCAAAAGGAAATCACCAAGACATATCATCATCAAACTCACCAAAACCAAAGAAAAAGAAAGAATTCCGAAAGCAGCATAGGAAAAATGAAAAGTTACCTACAAGGGACAACCAAGAAGACTAAGCTCAGATTTCTTAGCAGAAACCATGCAGGTGAGAAGACAATGGGATGATATATATAAAACCCTGAAAGAGAACATTTCCAACCAAGAATTACATACCCAGCAAAATTGTTCCTCAAATATGATGATGAAATTAGGAAATTTCCAGATAAGCAGAAATTAAGGGAATTTTTTAAAACCAGATCAACCTTACAAGAGATGCTAAAGGGAGTCCTTTGGACAGAGAAGCAACAACAGCAAACAATAACTGACCATAACACACATGATGACATAACCCAGAAATCAACCCAGATATAGAAGTATCAAAAGTAAATAAGCCTACAAGATTATAAACAGGGAACCAGAAACATCAATTGATGAATGAGGACAACTACAAACCAAAAAGAGGGAAAAAATTGTGTAGTTATAGAACTTCTAAGTGGTAGGGAAGTCAAGACAATTACAAGATAGAACGGACTGTTCTAAACTTGGGAAGAATATTATAAATCACAGGGTAACCTCAAAGAAAAGATAAACCCTCACATCAAAATCAAAAAGAGGACCAGCACAAATATTTAGCAAATACGAGCTCTGGTAGCATAGTGGCTAAGGCACTTGACTGCTGACCAGAAGGCTGGTGGTTCAAACCCACCAGCCACTTCTCGGAAGGAAGTTTGGGCAATCCTACTTCTGTAGTGATACTGCCTTGGAAACCCGAGGAGGGGTCGCTATGAGTCAGGGCTGACTCGATGGCACATAACAACAACAACAACAAGATAATAACAATGAAGGAAGTGATAACACGATTCATAAACAAAACGAGCTCAGTATGGAAAATTACATGGAACAAAGAAGTCAACACCACGGAAAAGCACATAACAAAATGACAGTAACAAATTCATACTTGTCAATAATTATATATCTGACAAGAGACTTATTTCTAAAATATATAGAAAGCTCCAACATCTCAACAACAAAACATTAGCAATCTAATTTAAAAATGGGCAGAAGACATGAATAAACACTTCACCAAAGAGGATATTCAGGTGATATTCAGCAAATACATGAAGAAATGCTCATGATCATTAGCTATCCAAAACCAAACTCACTACCTTCCAGTTGAACCCGACTCATCAACCCCTCCTTTGGTTTCTGAGGCAGTATCACTATGGAACTAGATTGCCCAATCTTCCTTCTAGAGTGTGCCTAGTGGGTTTGAACTACCAGCCTTCTGGTTAGCAGTCAAAGCCTTAGGCACTACCATCAGAGAGATGCAAATCAAAACAACAATGAGACACCATCTCTCCCCAGCACTAATGGCAAAGTTCAACAAGACAGAAAATAATAAATGCTGGAGAGGATGTGGAGAGATTGGGACTTTCATACACTGCTGGTGGGACTGTGAGATGATATAACCACTGTGGAAAATAGTACGATGATTCCTTAAAAAGCTGGAATTAGAAATACCATTTGATCCAGCAATCCCATTACTAGGCATATATCCCAAAGAAATGAGAGCCAGGACAAGAACAGATATATGCACACTCATGTTCATCACAGCACTACTGACAATAGCAAAAAGATGGAAACAGCCTGGGTGCCCATTAACAGAAGAATGGATAACCAAACTATGGTACATACACATGATGGAATACTATGCAACAATAAAGAATAATTTAGAATCTGCCAAACACTACATATCATGAATGAACTTGGAAAGGACATTATGCTGAGTGAAATAAGTCAATCACAGAAGGACAAATATTTTATTAGTTCATTATTATAAAAAGTCAAGTAAAGGTTTATATATGGAAGGAAACTTTGTTGGTAATCAGAGGTGGGAGGGAAGGAGAGGGAACACTGCAAAAAAAAAAATATATATATATGTATATATCATTGACCCGTGTCACTTTAGTATTGTGCATTTCACTGTACGTAAATTATCTTTCAATAAAACGCATTTAAAAAAAATCAAATCAATTAGCATTTGAAGGTGTATGATGTTAGAGATCTTAGGGAAAACAATGGCAGGTAGACAATGTGCCTGTTGCCAAAACCAAAAACCAAACCCATTGTAATCGAGTGGAGTCCAAATAATAGTGACCTATCCACCTGTTGCCACCGAGCCTGTGATTTATCGTGCAGAAGTTCAAACTTTCAGCAAATGAGAGAGAGAAGAATAGGTGAAGCACAGGGCATTTTAAGAACTGTGAAAGTATTTTACGTAACATCATAATGGTTGACACATGGCATTATGCACTTGTTAAACCCCATAGAACTGAACAACACAAAGAGTGAACCCTGATGTAAACTGTGGACTTTAGTCAATAATAATATATTATAACAAATGTTTCACATGAATGCATGATGTTAACAGGTGAAACTATGTTGGGGGAAGCGGGAGGTGGGGGGGGATATGGAAACCCTTTGTAATTTTCAGTGCAATTCTTCTCTAAGTCTAAAATGGCTCTAAAAATATAAAGTCTATTTTAAAAAAATAGCCAGTCACAGTCCAGTGTCTGGCACTGCAAAGTATAAATAATAGTTGTTACATTAATTTTCACTGTTGTACCCTCAGTGCTAGCATTTAAATAAATATTATTTAAATTAAAAAATAAAAATGATTAGTAAATGTCTCATTGTGCTCAGCATTGGTTAGAGTATAGGTTCTCATTCCACAACTTAAAATCAATAATTAGATGGTCTGTGGGTCCTTTGGGTTTGCTAAGGGAGTTGAAAAATAAGATTTAAAAGAAAAGACAAAAAAAAAAATTGGAATAAAGAGGGCAAGAGGATTCACTATGAGGAATTTGGTGTTCCTGAGTCCCCTGGTTTTAGAGGGAAGTTATGGGTCACCTTTGTCTGAAGCCCTTCAGAAATAACTTAGGCAGCCTTATCTGGGTTAATTTTTACAATGTTCTGTGGATACGTTGAGGGGAGGAAGAATACCAATTTTTAGCTTGTTCTACCTTTATGCATTATTAGAATCACTTTTTCTCCAAGTAGGTAACACTTTAAAGCCTGCATAAAATTCCCTGTAAGGAGCTCTGGTGGTGTAGTGCCTAAGGCATTTGACTGCTAACCTGAAGGCTGGAGGTTCAAGCTCACCAGCCACTCTGCAGAAGGAAGACTGGGCAATCTACTTCTGTAGCTTTACTGCCTTGCAAACCCAAAGGGGGTCTCTATGAGTCAGAATTGACTCGATGGCAGTTGAGTTTGTTTTTTGTTTAAAATTCCCTGTAAGAAATGTTCCTTATTTAACCATTCCCTTAGTTTTGAACCATCAATATATGAGAATGCTATTGATCATTTTTCAAAAAATCAAACCTAACTTCCCTCTAATTTATGTTCTGGAATTGGATAAATTATAGCCACTTTTGGACTTAATTCGCTGGGAGAAATGTTCTCTCTTCTCTTTAAAGATGCTGGTCTGAAGTTGGCGACAAACATGTGGGACAGAATCTTTCCATTGGCTCAAGGTGTGACAATAAGGCCATCATTGAACATGAGATCCTGCACGCTTTGGGATTTTACCATGAGCAGTCAAGGACTGACCGAGATGATTATGTGAACATCTGGTGGGATGCAATTATTCCAGGTATGTATAACCCAGCATGGTTGGATGAAATGTTCTATTATATTTATCACTTACTGAGACCAACTCTGGCATGGCCAAATTTGTATAGTCTGGGGCTTTATCTTCTTATATGAGCAAAATAGAGAGATTATAGAGTTCTTGGGTAGTGTGAGAAGTTAATACATTCAGCTTCTAACCTAAAGATTGGAGGTTTGAGTTCACCCAGAGGCATCTTAGAAGAAAGGCCTGGTGATCTATTTCTGAAAACTCAGCCATTGAAAACCCTCTGACACATATGGTGTCATCATGAGTTCAAGTCAACTCAATAGCAACTTTATTTATTTATATATTTTAAGGATGTGTTGGCCTCTCTGTGCTAATATGATTTTAACTGATCCCAGACAAGTGTCTCAGGGGCTGGTGTATGTTGGCTAACTAAATGTGTGGTTAACTGAAAGTTAACCTGAATATTTTGCTCTTTTTCAGTGTGTTTGTTGAAACTGTCTAAAATGCTGTCTATTTTCCCATCTTAGTGAGTAAAGTGAATTTGGTCTCTGAGGACATCAGGGTCATTTTTCTGGATGTGAAATATCATTAGTTCTAGTAATCTCATGTAGCTCTAGAAGGCTGTATGATATTTGGTTTACTGTATGATGACCCTGGGTGCTGTGAATAGCTAAGTTCTCAGCTATTAGCAGAAACCACACAGAAACACCTCGGGCACAGGCCTGGCAATCTGCTTCTGAAAGGTCATTGCCTTGAAAATCCTACGGAGCAAAGTACTACTGTGAAGCACATGGGGTTGCCATGAGTAGGAATAGACTCAAGGCAACCAACAAACAACAGGACAAACTCTGATAGGCTTTTATCAAATCAAAGATAGGTGTTTAAAAACAAAACAATGAAGAATACTGTTATCTGAAATTGCAAACCCTATCCTGTTATTTCTGACTAATTATCTACACTCTTGTTAATCAAAATCGGACATTCTGGATCTTTCCCCTTTTTAAGCACCTCACTCTTCTGTGAACTAAACAGAAGACTACACAATTGTCTTCTGAAGTGTTATTATGCAGTTATGCTATTCTAACATATTCAATGTTCTTTAGTTATTCTTTGTTCCCTTGAATGCTGCCTTAAACACTTAAATAGGTGGTTTTTGAATACACTGAAACATCATTTATTAAATGTTTCCTAATGTGCTGAAGAAAAAGTCAATACTGTGTTTGAGAAATCATATAGTATTCAATTAGGAATTTGTTCAGCAAGTGTTAAAAACATGTATTTTGGCAATAAAATATTAACGGAACTTTAACATACTAGAAATGCTTCAACTATTACCACACATGGCTTTTTTGAAACAAATATTTGTCTCATATGTGCTATTAATTTAGATCCAAGTTTCACATATGGTGTCTTGGTTCTCTAATGCTGCTATAACAGACCTACCACAAGCAGATGAAATAGGGATTTACTCTCTTACATTTTAGGAGGCTAGAAATCCAAGTTCAAAGTGCTGGCTCTAGGGGCTGGACAAAGGCCCCTTGACCTTGGGCTTCAGCTCTGCCTCCTGTTCCAGACCCACTAGATCAGGAGACTTTTTCTGACTCATGCAGCTGCTGGCTCCTGAGACTGATGAACCCAAGATTGACAGGTAAAACGGCACTGTCCCAAGATCATCAGGCAACATGGCAGGGCACTGAGATGGAGACTCTGCCAAATGCAGGATCCAAATGTGCCAAAAGCTACAGCCCTTTCTCGAAACTTCTAATATACTGAAAGTAGGTCACACCCTGAAGGCAGCATCTTAGCTGCTCACAGCAGATTACATCATGGAGATGATTACCAGTTTTATCATGGGGAGTTAACTACATTCAGCTGCCAAGCCACTCAAAACCACGGCCCAGCCACTTTGACACACAACCTTAACTACCACATATAGGTTCATATATTATAGTGAAACTCTACTAATTTTACTCCTAGGGACATGGAAGAACTGGCTACGCTTTAAAATTAATGTGAATCCCCCAATATTTCTGCCAGAACTAGCTAATTTTGAAGTTGTGTAGATAAATGACTGTCTCTTGACATAGGGTTAAGGATGTCTAATCACGTCAAAATCACCTGTGGGATGTTTTTAACCTATATCCCTCCAGTCTATTGTATTCTGATAATTCTAGGAGAGGTGGGAAAGGAGGGTAACTGTGGTTTGTGAAAGCCTCACTCCTATTACATTACCACTCAACCACTGAGCTATAGGAAAAGCAACATTCTTTGTAGCTTCCCAATCTAATCTAGAGACTAGTGGAGAGTATTCATCTAGAGACAAAATAATAGATTAGACTGAAATGTATTTGTAGCCCAGGTGTAATTACATTATAACCGGGTGTATGTGAAGGGAGAGAGAGAGAAGAAGGTCATATATGAAATCACTAAATCTCTGAGTGTGAGACTCATGGTACAATTAGACTTAGTCCATATTTGCCCAGAGGACTGCATTTCATACTTTCCCATACAAATAATTTGCTTTACCGAAAATTATATGAGACATTAGAAAACTTCCTATTTCTATGTCTTGAAAGTGGCTGTGATTAGTACTTTTAAGATGGCTTTAGGTCTAGTGAGTTCCCCTTGTTTTGAGTAAGCCAGTACCTTTTGCTGAGGTCATTTTTCAGACTTGCTTACCCCTGGGTTGAGCGTGGGTTGTTCAACTCATGTTTGCTCATCTCTTATCTATATTTTCAGCAGGTGTAATTTCATATATCTAAATTGCCTGCAATAACTGGAGAACAGTTATCAAAGGACAAGTCAAATCCAGTAAGATTATAGTCGAGGGCAATATTATTTCTCAGGATAAGTTTGATAATACTTCATTTCCAGTCAATGACAATGACAATCATACTATGTAACCTAAGAAGATATTGTGCTGGTGATATAGTTCTTTCCCTAAGCCCAGCTACATTTTTGGGTAGGGATTGTTTTCTGGATCTGTTCCCTTCCACTGAGCAAAAAAAAAAAAAAAACTCGACTCCTGAGGTTTAGCAGGGATTGGCAACCTACCATTACAGCTCACCTTAAATGACATTTTAGGACTGAGCTTTCTGGAAGAAGTTAGTTTTCCCCTTCCCTGTTTAGTTCATTTACTGTTTTCAGTACTGTCCCCTCTCTGAAAATGTTTGATTCCTGCCAAGTAGTTCCCCATTAAATTCCTATAGGTTAGGAGGAAGAGACATTAGTGTCCTCATTTTAGAGTTAACACAAGGTCTTCCTCAAAGAGGCTCCTTAGTGTTTTCAAGAGCATTTGGAGACCTCCACTGGCCCCCATTCGCCAAAGCACCACTCTTCTTCCACCCTAAACACACTTGTGTGATGTCTTTGAAATGTAATTGTATTTTCTTCTCTTTAATTTGTAAAAATAACTGAAAGATGAGCTAGAGAAGAAGACAGAACATAAAGATGGAAAGTTATGAGAATGGAGGACTTATGAGCATTTTCATTTCGTTTTCCTATCACTTTATAGGAGGGAAATTAGAAATCAGGGACCTTTCTGCATTACTGCAACCGAAACAGTAAATTTCTGATGGTTAGTTGATTAAAAGAATATTTTACTGGTTTCTCATTTCAGCTTTACACATTGTGGTATACATTATCTCATTTGTAATAATCTCCTCATAAGATATTTTCCTTCCTTGTTTTGAAATGAAAATAAACTTTATCCTTCTCATTTTATTTTTTTTCTCTGTGATGCTTTTCCTGGGAGCAAAGGTATAAACTTTGGTTGGCAGGAGCCCCTTTCTTACCTGTTTATTTTTCCCGTTGCCCCTCAGATTTCCTTTTCTTAACCTATGGAAGATCCAGTCAGGTACAGCTCTGGGCAGACACAGGCAGCTGGAGTACTTGGCTTTTAGGAAGATGTATTTTGAAGATAATCTTGAACATTTTTCAGAATTCAAAAATTCATTTTCCTCATGTTTGGAATTCTTATGTTAGCTTTGACATTTTACCTTCTCTTTCTGAACATATAGACAGATAGACAGACAGACAGACAGATAGACAGATAGATAGATAGATAGATAGATTAGACATAGAAATAGATACAGATCTATCTGTCTGTCTATCTATCTATCTATCTATCTATATTTGCCATATATTTGACTTCTGCTCATGGCAACCTTATGTGTGTCAGAGTAGAACTGTGTTCCATAGGGTTTCCAATGGCTGATTTTTCAGAACTACATCACCAGGCCTTTCTTCTGAGGCACTTATATGTAGACTAAAACTGCCAACCTTTTGTTAGCAGCTGAGCATGCTAACCATATATATATTTGTATATGTTGTTGTTGTTGTTGTTGTTATTTGCCGTTGAGTCGGCCCCGACTCATAGCGACCCCTCCTTGGGTTTCTGAGGCAGTATCACTACGGAAGTAGGATTGCCCAACCTTCACATATATATATTTTAGTTGTGGGGTTGGACTCTATTTAAGCATTTGATCAAAGAGATCTTGGCGGGGAAAATAATGTGACTGAGCAGGACCTGTGCATTGTCTCCCTGACAGGTTACCAGCACAACTTTAACACCTATAATGACAACTTCATCACAGACCTCAACACACCCTATGATTATGAGTCTTTGATGCACTACGAACCTTTCTCATTTAACAAGAATGAAAGTGTCCCTACCATCACGGCCAAAATCCCTGAATTTAATTCTGTCATTGGGCAGCGCCTGGATTTCAGTGCCATTGATTTAGAAAGGCTGAACCGAATGTACAATTGCAGTGAGTACTCCTGGGTCTGAGGACTGGGTAAACTAGCTCCAACAGAGATTCCTTTGGTTCTAGAAGCTTCCTTTACATATTCCTTTACTCTTCTTTCCCATATTCTAGATGAAGGAATGTGGGAAAACGAAATAATCTTAGTTGTTTTCTCTTTAGAGTAGAAAAAAATCATAATACCTATCTCACAAGATAGCTATGAAAATCAATTATGAGGTTGTGTTTTGCCAAATGAAAGAAGTTGGTGTTGTCTAACTTCTTTAGCTTCCTTTTGGAGGATGCATCATTATATAAAGGTCCAGGTACTTAGAATAAATGATGATACACTTGACTATTTTGTATCCTACAAAATGCTTACCCTTGGCTAACTATTCCTAGGGTGACCAAGTCTGTTCCTCTGGGTTGGGGACTTTTAAAGATGACCCTACTAGTCATCAGAGACATAATAATTAGTTATGTTCAATAAATATGTATAGAAGACCTACTAAGTATGAAGCCTAATGCTATTATACCTTGTTCTTGACCTAAAGTAGCTCATGCTTCACATTTATATAGCAAAACACAGTTATATATCTTTTTATCACTGGACTCTATGGGGTGGGTAGGGCTGTGTCTGTGTTGTCAAGTTCTAAAACCTTACTAATGAGAGAAGGACTTGTATTTGAAAACAAGTGAAGAAAAAAAAAGTTTCATGATACAATTCTTTCTGGACAATGAGATTATCTACGTGGAATGAGATTTCTTACTTTTAACCAGGTGACAAAAATGTCATTTGCAGCAACAACTCACACCCTTTTAGACCACTGTGCTTTTGAGAAGGCAAACATCTGTGGCATGATTCAGGGCACAAGAGATGATGCTGACTGGGCTCATCAGGACAGTGCTCAGCCAGGACAAGAGGATCACACCTTGGTGGGACGCTGCACAGGTCAGTGAAGGAGGAAAGTAAACACACTGAGGTGGTTCACCAGGTTGAATTGGTCAAAGCAGTCAATGTGTTTTGCCTCAATCTGAATGTTAGTTATCAAGCCTGGAAATCTGAATAAGGACAAAGAACATTTCTTACATCTTAATTATTAACTCAATCAAAAGAACCCAGGTCTGTACATGCAAATGAAAGATGTCTTTAAGTGATGACAGAACTGATGTGGACACCTGGTTGATAAGACATGACTTTTGTAAATAAGGACTATGTCTCTAGAGCACTATCCTCCAACAGAACCATAATGTGACTCATATATGTAATTTAAATTTATCTGTGGTGGCATAGATATAGATCTATTGATCTATCTACCTATCTATCTATCTCTATTTATCTACCTACCTACTTGCCATAGATTTGACTTCTGCTCACGGTAACCCCATGTGTGTCAGAGTAGAACTGTGTTCCATGGGATTTTTGACTACTAACCAGAAGACATTTGACTGCTAACTGAAAGGCTGGTGGTTGAAACCCACCAGCCACTCCTTGGAAGGAAGATTGGGCAAGCTACTTCCATAGTGACACTGGCTTGGAAAACCCCAGGAGGGGTCGCTATGATGGCAGTGAGTTAGTTATTTAGAAAAACCACATAAAAAATAAAAAAAATGGTGAAATTAATTTTAACAATATAATTTATTTAACCTAATATATCCAAAGGAGCTCTGGTGGTGTAGTGCATAAGGCATTTGACTGCTAACCAGGAGGCTGGCAGTTCAAACCCACTAGCCACTCCTTGGAAGGAAGGTTGGGGAATCAGCCTTGGAAACCCAAGGATGAGTCACTATGAGTTTGATCCAACTAGACGGCAGTGTGTTAATATATCCAAAAGATGAGCATTTCATCATGTAATCAATATAACATTTATTAACATAATCAATATAACAATTAATCAGATTTTTTTTTTCACTAAGTATTTGAAATCTGATGTATAGTTTGCCCTTATAGCACAACTCAGTTTGAACTGGCCACCATTCAAGTGCTCAGTAGTCCCATATGGCTGGTGACCACCATATTAGACAGCACATCTTTATACAGTTCTTGTATGTGTTTTGTGTAGTAAAACAGCAATAGAGTCAGACAGACCTGGGTTTGAAATCTGGCTCCACTACTTACTAATTGTAACCATAAAACCGAAAAAAACCAAACCCACTGCAGTAGAGGCGTATCTGACTCAAAGTGACCCCTCCTTGGGTTTCCGAGACAGTATCACTATGGAAGTAGATTGCCCAACCTTCTCTCCAAGGAGTGGCTGGTGGGTTTGAACCACCAGCCTTCTGGTTAGCAGTCAAATGTGTAGGCGCTATGCTACCATAGGAAGTGATTTTTTTTAAAGTTTTTATTTTCATAAGCTTCTCTAAACCTCAAGGTATTAATACTTCAGAGTGAGGATAGAAGGATATAATTCATGCAAATCTCTCAGCTGCAGACAAGCAGTTTCACTTCTTTTCTTTCTTTCTTTCTTTCTTTTTCCTCTATACTGAAAAACAAAAAACAAAGAACTACTATCAAGTTAATTCTTATAGTGACCCTATACTAGGAGTTCTGGTGGTCTAGTGTCTAAGACATTTGACTGCTAACCAGAAGGCTGGCAGTTCAAACCCACTACTCCTCCTCCTCCTCCCTGGAAAAAAGATTGGGCAATCTGCTTCCATAGTGATTACTGCCTCAGAAACCCAAGGATGGGTTGCTATGAGTCCAACTTGACAACAATGAGTTTGGTTGTTTTTCTCTTTTCTTTTCTTTTTCTTTCTTTTAATAAGACAGAGTAGAACTGCTGCATAGGGTTTCCAATGCTGTAAATTATTAGGGATGCAGACTGCTGCATCTTTCTCCTGCAGAAGGGTTGGTGGCTTTGAACCACCAACATTTTGGTTAGAAGCTGAATGCTTTAACCACTATGCCACCAGAACTTATTTTTCCCTCTAAAAACCAAACGCAAACCCTGACTCATGGTGACCCCCATAGGGTTTCCAAGACTATAAACATTTATGGAAGCAGACAGCCTTGCATTTTTCCTGCAGAGTGGCTGGTTTGAACCTCCGATATTTTGGTTAGCAGCCCAATGCCTTAACCACAGCACCACTGGAACTCCTTATTTTTTTTCTCTCTATAGGTCCAATTTATTTTTTAATTCTATTTTAGCATCCTTATTTATGTGCCTCTTATTGAGATAATCTCAATCCTATTTGGAAGCAAGTCAGTTTACACATTCTACTAGCTTTTTTTTTTTTTTTTTTTAAAAATAGTCTTATGAGGTCCTTTGTCCATGCCTGCCTGAGGTCTGGTTAGACAGTCTTCTCTAAAGGGACCCAACATGTCATCCTGATGCCATGCCATCAGGGATATGCCAGTGGTCATAAACCAATGCCATTCTCCCTCTTTGACAGAGGGTAGAAGGTAGAAGTCTCTGTTACACATGAAATGTCAAACAGATTATCCTAAGCAACCAAAGGGTGAGCCAAGCCTGAAATTCTCTTTAAATTTCCATCATAGTTCCTAATCTGATCTATCCAGTGGGCTTGCTGCTAAGCTAATATATATATACTTGTCGGCTAAACAGAAGAGTGATCTTTATGTGATAGGAAACTGCTAAAAGAATGTTCTAGTATACTATTTGGGAGAAAAGGCCCACACCCAGAAGAAATGTCAAGAAACGCTTTATCAAGAGCCATTATGTTTTTCCACAGGAGCATTGACTGGGACTGTTTTCCCTGTTTTGGAGAGCACTGGTATTGTTCAGGATGATCCATAAAGTTGAAGAGCTCCAAGGACCTCTTGGACTTGAACCCACTTTCCATTTGAAACCCAGAGTTATGAATCAACACATAGTTAGTGGCAGAGCCAGGGCAAGAATTCAGGTCTCCTAATTCCTGGGCCTAAGTTATTTGCTTTCACTTTATACTTCCTACTGCATTTGGATAGGACTTCCTGACCAAGGAACCACATTGTGAGCTCTTCTTTAACCCAAACATTCATAATGCAGAAGTTTCCAGCTGCACTATATTCTATGACTTCAAGTACTGGAAAGTTCAACTATTGGGAAGAACAGACAAGAAAACACAATTTTCTGTGACATAATATCAAAGCCATTTAGACAGTTTTCAGCTTAGTTGAAAGGTCATTTAAACCAGTGATGCTTGCTGTTTGCTAACTGGGAAGACACACCTTCCACATATGAGACAGGATGAAGGGCACCAGATGACAAGAGGTCTTAGACTGTACTGTATCTCACATTGTCTTCATTTTGTGAAATATTTTGAGTGAAGCATTTGGTGATGGGTAGAAGACTGGAGTTCTGTTTGAAAGACCTTTTTTTCATGCAAGAATTTCTTATTATGCTTGACTTTGGAAGATGTGCTGGTTTGCCTAATGATTCATTAATTTAGACACATGCTTGTGTTTAAAGAGGAGAATTTGGCAATATCTGACTTAGGCAAATTCCACCTCTGGTACTAATGCTAGAGACACTTTATTGCCTTCTTTTCCAGCATTTTTTTTTTTTTTTTTTAGAGCTCTCTTTTACATTCAGAAGAAATCCTCAATTAATTCCTAATACATAGTTAATGCTCCTTCTCATTGCCAGATGATTCTTTACATATGATAATACACCAAGTTATTAGGGTGGCCTAGTGTCTAAGGCATTTGACTGCTAACCAGAAGGCTGGTGGTTCAAATCCACCAGCCACTCTTCGGAAGAAAGATTGGGTGATCTACTTCCGTACAGATACCACCTTGGGAACCCAAGGATGGGTCGCTATGAATTGGTGTCAACTCGATGGCAATGAGTTTGGCTTTTTTTTTGGTGTTAGGCTAGAAGCAGGGGCAGTTTGAACCCTTATTATCATAAATGGGAATATTAAAAAATCCAAATCCTAAACCTTTGAACCCCAGTATGTTTCATATAGGTGCCCTGGTGGCACAATGGTTAAGCTTACCTGCTAACAGAAAGGTTGGTGATTTGAATGCATCAGACTTCCATGGGAAAAAGATGAGGCAGTATGCTTCCATAAGGATTTACAGCCTTGGAAACCCCATGGGACAGTTCTACCCTGTCCTACAGGGTTACTGTGAGTCAGAATTGACTTGATGGTGATGGGTTCATGTTTCAAGTACATCAAAAGGCCAACTCTTCCCTTGGAATGAATCGCAAATTTTAAAAATGAAGTCAATGAGAAAAGTAGAACTCATTACAGAGACATTAGCTTTCATCAGACTTTGCTAGAAGCCTGTATTTCCTAAAATCAGAGGTAGAGATTTCTCAGCCTTGAGAAGAAAGGTAATTCAAGAGGTCACAGAGAATGGCAACATTATCCAGTGAATCTATCCATAGAGACTAATAGAATGTTCACTGGCAAATACCTTCTTTCTATTTCCCCCAGAAGAGCTCGGGCTTTTGTTGCCTGGGTAATGACTGTTGTTCATTATTTCATTTTCCTTGGGCAGATGGTACCCTGGGGCATGGGAAGCCAGAGATGAGATATTAGGGTGCTCTCTTCACAGATGCTGGCTACTTCATGCACTTCAACACCAGCTCTGGGTCAGCAGAAGAGGCAGCCTTGCTGGAGTCACGGATTCTTTACCCAAAGAGGAAGCAGCAGTGCTTGCAGTTTTTCTACAAAATGACAGGAAGCCATTCAGATAGACTGGTTGTCTGGGTCAGGAGGGATGACAGCACAGGCAATGTTCGCAAGCTGGTCAAAGTGAAGACTTTCCAAGGTACTTATAAGCATCTACTACACAAGGACTGTGTGGCTTAAATCTGGGATTCTGTTTCTCTTCTTCCATCTCCTTCTCCTCTTCCCTTCTCTTTTTGCCTTCTCCACCACCTCCTCCTTTCAGTCCTCTTCTTCCTCTTTCTCCTTTTTCTCTCCTTCCTCATCCTCCCCTTCTTTCCTATACCTTTTCACTTCCTCCTCTTCTAAGGGCCTAGAATAATATCTGGCTTGTTTTAACCACATAATGAAAGTTTTAACTACTAAAAAATTTATAGGACAGAGGGTTTAGGTGAGGCTGATATATATTTTTGTAAGAGGCCAAATAACGTATGTAAATCCAGTTTTCACTAGCATTTGGGAGAACTCCCAAGCTAAGGCAGAGAAAAAGGGTGATTTGGGGCTGAGGATTGAAAAGTAAAATAGGTGCAGGAATTGATACTGCTGGGAGACATACAGTAGGTAAGTAGTTGACCATAAGTGTTTTTGCATCCCTTTCAGAAAATTCAATGATACCTTTATTTAGTATGCTGAAGTAACTTGAAGCAGACTTATACAGCTGGTGGGCAGTAAACTGTTTTCAAATATTCATTTCATTTATTTACATATTTCTACTTCCCTAATAAACTCATAAAGTAAATACATATTTACTTTATGTATTTCTATAAAAAAAATTCAACATGCGAACCTTGAAATACTAAGCTAGGCAGTTGTGTACAAGGGTAATCTGGCTGTAAATCAACATCCAGTGTTATAAAGCCAAGTATTTCCCTTTTGTGGGGGTGGGTGTTCATTCACAACTAGAAAAAGAGACACAAGCATTCATATTTTTCCATTTCATAAATAATTTTTCAATTAAAATTAGTCCAAAGAAAGAACTGTATTTCAGCCTATACTTGAAATGTGAAGGCTTTTGTAGAGGTTACTTATAAAAACAGGTGCCCAAATCATTGCTACCAGGTCATTCTGTGGAGAACTTGGGAACTCTCCAAATAATGGTTTTGAGGGATTCACATTTCTGGCTGGAATTTATCATAGCTGGTATAATGGAGTCCTTCAAGAGGTAAGAAATCTCTATGTTATCAAAGATTTTAAATATTTAATTTGAAAATGAATTGCAGGCTGAATAACATTGATGGGATCTATTATTGCTCACTTCCATATAAAGCTAAAAATTTTATCCTCATCAGCATAAAATCAATGAAGCAAACTTTCCACACTTAATTTAGCTCATTACACTGATTATGCTTAAGTTTTATAGAATTTAAAGTGTGTCTGTCTGAGATCTCTGGAAGTACCATATAAATAAATTCTTGAAGAAGTCCATTCTGATAATATCTTGTCAAAGAAATTTTTCTAAAATGTTAAATATTGCTTAGTGTTTATATGATATTTAACTTATGATAGTTAAAATCATACTAAATACATTTTAACCTTTTCAAAATGTGTTTGTAACCAAGATACTTACATACAAAATACGTGTGTGTATGTATATACACACATATGCATATATAATCTTTACATATTGCAAACAGGACATGGGGGTGGCATCCTCCTCTGACTTCACAAGTGGAAGAGACAATCACTATCAGAAGCCCAAGGCTGATTTCTACAAGGTCAGACATGCTGTCACCCTCCAGCCTTTTTTTTTTAAACCAATTTTGATGCCAATTGTCCCTCCCAGGGCACTCACTGCTTCTCTGCTGGGTTCAATAATCATTGCAGTGGCCACCCAGAACTCATACAATACTCACAATTATGGAGTTTATTAGGGAAGTAACAGGTTACAATTCAGGTCAGGAATGCTCAGGATACAATTCTTCAGTCAGGAAATCCTCCTTTAGGCCATACACTCAGGTATACCTATACCTCTCTTTGGCCCTTGGCTTCTTGGACACCCTCTGCTCTATTCAGGCAACTGTTACAAAGCTCTTTTTTAGCTCTGCCAATAGGAGCATCTAGGTGCACCCCACACTGCCAGCAAACCTCTGCTCAAAGGCACTCAGCTTTCTTGCTCAGTGGGCCAGCAAGCCCACTGCTCTGTCTCGAGCCTCTTGGTTCTGCTGCTGCCATCTCTCTGCCAACTCTCTGCCACGGAGGCCCAGGGCAGTAATTTCAGGTCCAATGATGAGCTCTACTCCACCTCCAGTTCTTCATTCTTGCTGGCAGTGAGATCCCCCTTCTGTCTCTGGGAGGGCTCATTTTAAGCTTAGCAATCCTCACATTAGGGTTGATTGCTAACCAGAAGGCTGACAGTTCAAAACCACCAGCCACTCCTCAGAAGGAAGGTTGGTCAATCTACTTCCATAGTGATACCTCCTTGGAAACCCTAGGAGGGGTCACTATGAGTCGGGTCTGACTGGACGGCACATAACAATGACAACAACAACAACAACATACACCTTGTTTGCATATTCCGATCCACACAAAGGTGCCAGATACTTTATTTACATTACTAAAAAGCTGTCCAATTCCCTTGGTGAGCCACAAGCATCTTACATTTGCATAGTTCCACCCACTAATTTGGTGGGAGTCACAAAGACTATGGGTAGAAGAGCTACACCGAGTAATTCACTGCACCACACATATAAGTGGTTCCATACAAATATGTGTCTATATGTATGCATAATACTTACATATAACCTTATTATAAAGTACTTGCATGCAAATGTGTGTATGTACAGACACACACACATACATGTTTTTTACTGAGGCCAGGACCCCTCTACAGATGACTCATTATAATTCCAAAATCACAGAGATGAGATTTGTCTCTCTTAACATCTAAGTACCCACAACTTGTGGAGCTAAATATTAGCTGAAAAATTCATGGTTAAAATTTGAATAATTTGAATATGAATTTAAAAATAAATTATGGTATATCTTTTTAAGCTGTTTTTCCTTTACTAGACATGTGACCCTAGAAAAGTTACTTGATCAGTTTAAAATAGTTCTTACAGACATTTTATTAAAGATGATATGCTGGCAGCCAACAAACAAATTAGGAATTGCTCACGACCTTTAGTCATTAGAGAGATGCAAATCAAAACAACGACGAGATATCATCTCACTCCAGCAATAATAACAAAGTTCAACAGGACAGAAAATAACAAATGCTGGCGAGGTTGCGGAGAGATTGGAACTCCTGTGCACTGCTGGTGGGATTGTAAAATGATATAACCATTGTGGCACACTGTATGGTGTTTCCTTAAAAAGCTGAAAATAGAAATACTATTTGATCCAGTAATTTCATTACTAGGAATATATCCTAAAGAGGTGAGAACAGACATATGCATACCTATGTTCATCGGAGCACAATTCCCAATAGCAAAGAGATGGAAACAACCTAAATGCCCATCACATAACAAAGAAGGGTTTGCTTAAGAAAGGGAACTCACTTTGTAGCTTACTGGGGTGGGGAGGGAAGGGGAGGGATTAATTTTGGGCTAGTTGGGACCCATATGCTGATGTGGGTAAGGGGAGGGATGTATAGAAAGAGTCTGTGACCACCATGATAACATTGAGAAAAGGGAGGATAGCGAATTGTGTACATAAGAGATAGACAACAGATGCTCATATCAACCAGTATATCCAAAATAATGCATTACCATTTACACCAAATACCAGGCTACAGATAAACACATAAACAACTAAGAAGATCAGATGGAGGTCAGTGAACAGGATTATAGTCTTGGTCAAGGATAGATTCAGTGGAGGCTAATCTTGCACAGATACCAGTGATACAAAATACCTGCAGTCCTTACAGAAACAACAGAAGACAGACATAGAGTAATCCCTCGCAGACACCCAGACACTGTGGGAGAGAGATCCAACGGATCTACCGTCTCAGGAGTATAGAACTGGGGGACACCAGACTCAATTGGCTCAACAAAATACATAAAAGCCTTATTCCTCATCCTACATTGGTGACTAGTGACTGGGTCTTAAAAGCTCTTAAGTGGTCATCTAAGATGCAGCTAATGGTCTTCTATCATTGGAGGTGAAGAAGAGGGCAGAAAAAAAAAAAAAAAAAGGCATTTGGAAGCAATCAGCCCTAGGACATGATGGCCCTCGAGACCAGAAGAACTAGATGGTGCCTGGCTACCAATGCCAACCACTCGAGAAAGGATCAAATCTGGAGATCCTGGATAGAGTGGGAGGGAAAACATGGAACAAAATCCAAAAACTCAATAATGACCAGACTTACTGGTCGGATGGAGTCTGGTGAGACCCCCAATACTATGGCCCTGGGATACATTCTAGGCTTGGAATAAAACTCACTCTTAGGGGCTGGCTTTCAGCCTAATAGTTAACAAGATGTACATGCAGACCACTTCAACCCAGGGTGACATACCCACATACTCTATGGAAATGCATCCCTTGGAGCAATGGACCATGGGGCACCACAGTGGCAACATCCACATGGAAGAAATGCAGGACACACAGGAGTGCATAACTATGAGGGATATGGGGGGGAGGGGGAGTTAGTGGGCAGGGAAGGGAGGAGACTGGGTTAGGGCAGGGGATTGTAAATGGGGAGTGAAACTAAATGTACATGTAATGTTGAATGTAAAACAAACTCTGCTCTGGAAAAATAAAATAAATAAAACAGTTCTTACCTCCTAGGGCTGTTTTGAGGATTAAATGAGTTAATGTATTTCAAGTGCTTGCACACTACCAGGCTCATAGTGAATTCTCACTCTATGTTGGCAAAATTGTCACCAATTTTATTTTCCATTTGTCCTCAGGAGATCTTGATCAAAATTGGAAAATTGCTCATGTGACACTCAGAGAGGAAAAGAAGTTTCGCTACCTTTTCCAGGGCACAAGAGGTAACCCCCAGAACTCCAGTGGAGGGATTTACCTTGATGACATCACTCTGATGGAAATGCCATGCCCAACGGGGGTTTGGACAGTACGGAACTTCTCCCAGGTTCTCACGAATACAGTGCAAGGAGACAAACTCCAGAGCCCTCGATTCTACAATTTAGAGGGATATGGTTTTGGTTTGACCTTATATCCCCATGGCAGAATAAACTCCATTAGCTCTGGCTACACAGGGCTGACTTTTCACCTGTGCAGTGGCGAAAATGATGCTATCCTGGAGTGGCCAGTTGTAAACAGACAGGTGATAATGACAATTCTTGACCAGGAACCCGATGTTAGAAATAGGATGTCATCCAGCCTGGTGTTCACTACCTCCGAGTCCCAGACTTCTTCAGGTAAGTAATTTCAGCATAATTAAGAACTGTCTCCTAGACCAAGAGGATAAGCAGATGAGATTCCTATCTTTACAAGAGAAATTAACATTTCTCTCACATTATTTCCTTGGACATATCAGCAACATAGTCATGTTGTATTATTAAGATTTGCAATGCTGTATTATCTTCCTTCTCTTTCTTGAATTCATTTATCAACCATCTATTGAGCACTGATGGTGTACCAAACTCTATGCTAGGCACTAAGAAACAAATCAGGTAATTCCTGCTCTAATTGAAAAGACTCAAACTGCTCATCATTTATAAAATACTCAGAATTTGCTAGACTCTGCACAGAATGAATGCACTGACTCCTAAAATATTGCTAAATATCAGCCTGTGAAATAAACTTGATAACGAAGTAGGCAAACTATGTTTTTCAAAAAAATGGTCTTTAGTTAGATGAAGGAAGTTAACAGCTGTCCCTCCCTCTTTATTGCAGAAGTCACTCAACAGGGGACAGCTGACCATTCACAGCTGTGGTTTTTCACTCTTCCCCATCTTCAGCTTTAATTCTCTTGGAAAGAATAAATAATCCACTTTTTAATCATTGTTTTTTCTGATGAATAAAGCAGTAAACAATCATTAAAGATAAGTTGGGAAGTGAAGTATGAAAAGGTAATGTGATTTTTAAAGCACTTTTTCTCACCTATTACTTTGCAGCAATAAATGACTCTGTCATCTGGGACAGACCATCCACAGTGGGATCCTATGATCAGGGCTGTGATTGTTTTCGAAGCATAGACTGGGGTTGGAGTGGTTTCATCTCCCACGAAATGCTGAAAAGGAGGAGTTTCCTTAAAAATGATGACCTCATCATTTTTGTGGACTTTGAAGGTACTATTACTGTTCTTCCTAAGTCAGCAATCCTATGTTCTAGGCTTTCCACTGATTTTGCACTAAATTTTAAGCAACTCATGGAGAATGGGGTTTGTGTGTGTGTGTGTATGACTACTTTTTCTTTCTTTTTTTTTTTTTTAAAGATATATTGTAAGAGAACCACATTTTATGCAATTGCTGAAGGACTCACTTTTTAATTTTAATTCTCCTCAGGAGAAACTCAAATTTCAATGTCATTGTTTTTGATAATTTATCAAATATGACAGTTTACTGATTTCATTTTTATTTAAACAAATTCATCCATGCTAGTGTTTTGCTTCTTTTTACAAGTTAAATAATAATTCAGTTGTACTATTTTAAAAACAAAAATAGCTGGCATTATGAGAATCTACTGGACTCAAAGTTGCTCTTTTACGTCATTCAAGTTGATGTCCATGAGGGTCAGAGGGGCGCCTGAAAACTTCCTCCAGAACTTAATTGTTGTTGCGCCATCTTCACGATCATTGCTGTTTGAGCGCATTGTTAAAGTCACTGTGTCAATCTGTCTCATTGAGGGTGTTACAGCCATTGGGTCAATCTGTCTCATCGAGGGTGTTACAGCCACTGTGTCAATCCTCTCATTGAAGGTCTTCTTCTTTTTCTTTGACCCTCTATTTTACCAAACATGTTGTCCTTCTCCAGGGACAATGTAAAATACAACACCTGATCTATGATCAGCCAGCTCCTTAGTCAATGAATCAATAGAGGTGATTGTCTACTAGGGACTAGACTGGTACTAGAGCTGAAAATTTACAGAGAAATTTCAAAATGTTTCGTCCTCAATCTGATGCCTCTATCATTATTATGATCTAGCCGTTTTAATGTATAGCTTTGTTGTTGATGTTAAGGAGCTGGTGGTGCAGTAGCTAAGACATTTGGCTGCTAACCAAAAGGTTGGCAGTTCAGGCTCACTAGCTTCTCAGGAGAAAGACGAGGCAGTCTGCTTCTGTAAGATTACAGCCTTGGAAACTTTACGGTGTTGCTATGAGTTGGAATCAACTTGATGGCACTGGGTTTGGTTTGCTTTTGGGTTGTTGTTGTTAAGTGCCATTGAGTCGGTTCCAACTCATTGTGACCTTAGGAAAACAGATTAAAATGCTGCTCAGTCTTGTGCCATCCTCACAACCATTGCTGTATTTGAGCCCGTTGTTGCAGCCACTGTGCCAGTCCATCAGATTGAGGGCCTTCCCCTTTTTCACTGACCCTCTGTTTTACCTAGCATGATGCCCTTCAACAAAGTACATGAGATGAAGTCTCATCATCCTTGCTTCTAAGGAGAATTCTAGCTGCACTTCTTCCAAGATAGATCGTTTATTCTTGTGGCAGTCCATGGTATATTCAATATGCTTTAGCAACTACCATAATTCAAATGAATCAATTCTTCTTCAGTCTTTCTTAGTCATTGTCCAGCTTTTGCATGCATATGAGACGATTGAAAATACCATGGCTTGGGTCAGGCACAACTTAAACGTGACAGCTTTACTAACACTTTGAAGTGGTCTTTTGCAGTAGACTTGCCCAATGCATTATGTCCTTTGGTTTCTTGACTCCTGATTTCATGCATGTTGATTGAGGCTCCAAGTGAAATGAAATCCTTGACAACTTGAATCTTCTCTCTGTTTATTGTGATGTTGCTTTCTGGTCCAGTTGTGAGGATTTTTGTTTTCTTTCTGTTGAGAAGCAATCCACACTGAAGGGTGTAGTCTTTGATCTTCCTCAGTAAGTGCTTCAAGCCCTCTTCACTTTCAACAAGCAAGGTTGTGTTATCTGCATATCAGAGGTAGTTAATGAGTCTTCCTCCATTCCTAATGCTGCATTCTTCTTCACACAGTCCTGCTTGTCAGATTATTTTTTCAGCATGTAAATTGAATAAGTATGGTAAAAGCATAGAATACTGATGCACACTTTTCTTCATTTTAAACCACGTACTATCCCTTTATTATGTTTGAATAACTACTTCTTAGTCTATGTAGAGGTTCCTTATGAGCACAATTAAGTGTTCTGGAATTCCCATTTTCTGCAATATATGCATTTCCCATTTAACTGTAGTGGGTTATTAATTCTGGTTCTTCCTCATGATTCTTTGTCTATTTCTTTAAGATATCACCCACCTTAACAAGACTGAAGTTCCCACTAAAAACACAAGGCTAATCCCCCAAGGCCTTATTCTCCATGATCAAGAGCAGCAAGCCCCAGGAAAAGGTTCAGGGAAGGCCTTGTTAGAGGAAGTCCCACCTGGCAGCCTGGGCCAGGGGCAGCCCAGCCGACCGAAGCGGTCAGTGGAGAACACAGGCCCCATGGACTACCACAACTGGCCACAGTACTTAAGAGACCCATGTGACCCAAACCCTTGCCAAAACGATGGCACCTGTGTGAACGTGAAGGGAATGGCGAGCTGCAGGTAGGCTCTGTGGCCTGGGGGAGGCAAGTGGTGGGTCAGCAGACATGAACGCAGTGTTTGATTAACACTGCTAAAAAAAAGATGCTGTTCTTATTAATGTCACTGAATTGTACATGTAGAAATGGCTGAAATGGCACATGCTTTGTTACATATATTCTACCATAATAAAATTACAATTTTAAAAATAAGAAAAAAAGGTATAGTTCACAGGTTAAGGCATTGACTACATCAGATGGTCAAATGGACATGCTTAGGTCTTTCCCTGACCCTACAAAAATGTGCTGTAGAGTAGTGGGCTTATGTTCCTGGAGCAGGATAGGGGTCCTTCCAGGACAGAAGAGTCCCAGGTCTTCTCTCTTTGCTTTTATCCCTTCCCCCCTTTAGGGCATTGTCAACATCTTGAATGTTGTTGGACTTTCAAACTCCACCACAGCACAAACTGGAACTTTAGCCTATGGCCTTTGTGAGTACCAGGCTTCGCTATGACCTGACACAGTGGGACTCAGGACCTAGCTTAAAGTCTTCACTGACTGCAGATGTTGTTATTAGTTATTAACTATTATTGTTATTAGTTCTATCATGCCATTATTATTAGTTCTATTTTCAATAATAGTAATATCTGTTATTTTTGACTGCTTGTTGTATGGTGGGAGCTCTGGTGGCATAGTGCCTAAGGCACTTGACTGCTAGCCAGAAGGCTGGCGGTTCAAACCCACCAGCCACTCCTGGGAAGGAAGATTGGGCAATCTATTTCCATAGTGATACTGCCTTGGAAACCCAAGGAGGGATCACTGTGACTCGAATCTGACACAAGGGCATGAGGTTTGTGTGTGTGTGTGTGTGTGTGTGATATGGTGGTGTAGTGCCTAAGGCATTTTACTGCTAACCTGAAGGCTGACAGTTCAAACCCACCAGCCATTCCTCCAAAGGAAGAATGGGCAATCTACTTCGTAGAGACACTGCCTCGGAAACCCAAGGAGGAGTCTCTATGAGTCAAATCGACTTGGTGGCAGTGAGTTTCATTTGGTTTTAGTGTGGTGTGTCAAGTGATCTCCTAAGCGATATATATGCTTAAATGAATGCTCACAGCCACCCTATAACATAAGCTCTCTAATTATCCTTTTTTAATGCTTAAGAAGTTGATGCTTAAAGAGGTTAAGTAATTTGTCTAAAATGACCCAGATGATAAATGCTACAACTAGGACTTGTACCCAGACCTGTTTATCTGTACAGTTTTTTATAAATGAAAATTATTTTTAAAATATTTTTTCTTATTTCCATAAATACCTAAAATAGAAAAGTTTCCATTAAAGGATGTATATGATGACAGAAACATCAACTGATTTGATAGAATAGTAGCAGATGTAGGACCCACTCTGCTTGCTTTAAAATGAGTTATATTTCTTTCTTTCTTTTTTAAATGAGTTCTATTTCTTATGAGTTCTTTTCAATATCTACTTTGTCTATCCTTAGAAAAAGAAAAAAAAAAAACAAACATTTTATTTTGAAATAATTTTAGACTCATAGATACATTGCAAAAATAGTCCAGATAGTTTTCATATATTCTTCACACAACTTCCCCTAATGTTAACTTCTTATGAAAATTCAGTACAATGGTCAAAACCAAGAAATGAACATTGGCACAATACTGTTAACTAAAGAACTTATTCAGCTTTACTTAGTTTTCCCACTCATGTTCTTTTTCTGTTCCTGGATCCCATCAAGGATCCCACATTACATTTAGCTACAGGCAGTCCCTGGGATACAAATGTCCAATTTATGGACAACTTGTACTTGCCTTTCATGTTATGGACATTTGCCCTCACTTTGAAACAAGTGAACTCCTACTTGCAACAATTTCTTCAACATAATTACCTTCACTCGCTGCATAAGCAAGCCTTTTCTTGCACTAAAACCAACTCATTGCCATCAAGTCAATTCCAACTCAAAGTGATCCCACTGAGTTTCCAAAGCTGTAAATCTTTTTTTTTTTTTTAAACTTTTCTTGTGGTGAAAACATACACAACAAGACATTTGCCAACATAACAACTTCCCCATTTACAACTCAGGGCACTGATGACATATTTCATGTTGTGTCACCATTATAGGTATCCTTTTCCAAAATACTTCCTATTCTGTTCCAACATCTACAAATTCTTAAAGACACAGTTAGGAAAAGATCTCATTTGTAACCCGAGGACTGCCTGTGTCATGTCTCCTTACTCTTGTTCAACTTGTGACATTTCCTCAGTCTTTTCTCATCTTTTATGCCCACTTATAAAGAATAGCATCAACAGAAGGTTGATGTTTCAAACCCACCAGCCACTCCGTGGAAGCAAGACCAGGCAATCTACTTAAAGATTACTGCCTCGGGAACCCAAAGGGGGTCGCTGTGAGTCGATTGGCAGTGGGTTTGGTTTTTGGTTTTATAAAGAATACTGGTCAGTAGTTACTTTGAAATTGTTGCCCAATTTGGGCTTACCTGATGTTTTCTCATTAGATGGAAGTTGTTCTTTTCCCCCAAAGAATACCACAGAAGTCATATGCCCTTTTCAGTATATCATGTCAGAAGGTACATGAAAAGGATATGCCTTATCACTAGTGATGCTAACCTTGATCTCCTCGCACAACAAAGTTGCCATTCCTCACTCTGTAATGAACAAATAAGGAATATTTCAAGATCATGCAGATATCCTGCTTTTGTTGAAACCCTCATATACCAATTTCAGGACCCATCGGTAGATCCTGCCCACAATTATCACCACTGTGCTCCTCTGATCATGATTTTCTATTTCCACCACTTCCTCCACATTCATTAATTGTAATTATGTAAAGAAGAGTGGTCCTTTCTCCCTCAGCCATTTATTAATTCAATTATTTATGTCAGTCAGGACTCACAAATATTTATTTTATTCTATGGCTTATATTTTGACAATGTCATTATTTATTTTGTGCTCAAAATGTTCCAGCTTTGGCTTTTGGGAGCTCTTTCAGGTTGGCTCCCGTGCCCTTTCAACATGTACCTATCCCTTTTATGAGCACCACAGGATGCTCCAGACTTACCTTGCATTTTCCCTGCCCCAGTCTTGAAATCGTTTTCACTTCTCCAAGGTGCTCTGGTTCCTTTAATTGGAGAATATCCACTTTGTTTTTTGAGGACTCTGCAGCCATGGGTCTGAACCTGTTTACCTAATAAGTCTTTAGATGCTAGATTTCAATATATGCTCCAGTTGGCTTCATTCTTCCCAAAGTGCAGGAAGGTCAAGAGTGACCCCTTGTGGAGTCCTTTGATCAGAGAACCAAAAATAGCAAATAACAACCGACCATTAA